TTACAGTGAGACAAAATAAAAGAATCTAATGTTCTTTCTACAGTAGTGAAACATTGTCATTTTTATGTAGTAGTGAAAAAAATATGTGATTGAAAATAAATTTGAAGAAAAGTGTATGGGTAATTAGCACAAAACGTCCTTACATTTCAATGTTATTGTGCAAAATGTTCATATCTTTTATTTTTTGACATTTTTAACATTACTTTCACCTTTTATTGCGAAATCATCTTTTTCATCAAATTTCTCGTGTAAAATGACAAATATAGTCCTTTTTTAAATAAAACAATAAAAAAGAAAAGAAAAGTTAAAGAATAAATTGCAATTATATCCCAAACTTTTTAAAAAACATCAAATGTGTCCAAATAAATTATTAAAAGAGTAATTAGCACAAAACGTCCCTACCGTTCATCTTTATTATGCAAAACATCCATACCTTTCATTTTTGATATTTTCAATCTTATTTTTATATTTCATTACAAAAATCTTTATTTTCATCCATTTTTTCAATTAAAAATTGTAAAATAACAAATATACTCTCCTCTTTAAATAAAAAAAATAAAATTTTAAATAAATAATTAGAAATAACCTTTTTTCCTTATTAAAATAGAAGTACATTTTTTCGTGATGAATAGTTAATGAAGTTTGTAAGAAAGTCATCAATTTTAATGATTTGTATAACTACATAATTTACTTATAACTAACGGGGAAGGAAGAAAATAAATAGAGAAGAAAGAGAAAGGAAAAGAAACACTTCTATTGAGACTTGCAATTCGGAAATAGCTATTTTGTTCTAGAATTTTGTTAATTGCAATATTTGGCTAGTGAAATTTTTCGGCGAATTGTACCTTGAAAGTCAATAAAAAGGCAAGAGGGAAGATAACAGCTAATCCTGCACTATTGAAAACAATAAATGGCATGGCTTCAAAGTTAATCATTTCAAAACTGTACAAGAATTAAATTGTTTTCATCTCCAACATTCATCGCAAATTAAAAGTAAATGTAGTATAAAAAAATTGCACAGTACAAAAAAGAAGAAGAATTGAGTAGTGGAGATTATAAAATAGTAACTATGATCAAAAGTAATCACAATTAAGATAGTGTAAATACGGTAAAACCGTGATGATGGTCATTTATTTGACAAACTTCATATACATGTCATAGATAACAGAATCCAAACGCTCATTATTCAATAAATAATTTTAGTTTATCGATGTGAAATTGCAATTGGTAATTTTTGTCGTTATGAAATCAAGTTCTCAGATTTGAACAAGATTATTCCAAAAAAATAAATAAATAAATAAATAAACTTTTTACATTGCCTGCAAGTAAAATATTAGGTGTGAAACAGAGGGTGCACAAATGAACAGTAAACCATCATCCTCTCTTTTAATATAGTAGTTTACGGAGATTATGGAGGCTCAAACATAAGCCTCCATTATTATGAGCCTCCGTTATTATGGAGGTTCAACCCTGTTGAGCCTCTGTAATTACGGAGGTTCAACACTTTTAAGCCTACGGAGGCAAAAATTTCATTTTTTTCTTTCTTTTTCCTTTATTGGTTCTCAATACAGCAATTTAATTTTATTTAATCAACTTAGTTTTTTTTAATAAACATGATTCCTAAAATAAATACATAAAATATAGATCAATTGTTTTATATATACAGAGATTTTATAAATCCTTCAAACGAGCAGAAATGTAGATAAATGATAGACATATTAATCACATTTTCAAGTGTGACTTGTTGAGTACAATCAAATAATGTGTGAAACGTGTTAGATCAAATAGTCACTCATGTCGATAGTTCAATAATTTTTTTCTCCTCACTTTTGTTTTTGGAAAGAGTAAGACCAGGCTTTTTCAGTAACATATTGTTCATTTCTACAAGCAGTGTTAATCTATTATGTTATTTCTACACATAATTCTATTTACTCTCTTATTTACTAACATATTTCATCCTCATTTCAATGATTCCCAAATATCTAAAATTAAACAATACAAATCATTCCTTCATTGAAACTCCTTGATTGAAATATAATGTTCATAAAAAATTTGCACACACATTACGCAAATAGATACATTGTTCCACCAAAACATTTGTTATATATTCACTTATATAGAAACCATCATATGCATATATTTCATTTTATTATTTTTTATATTTTGATATGGATCTATTGCATACCCAAAAAAAAAGAAGAAGAAAAAGAAAACATTAACAACAAAAAATTGAAATAAAATCAATTCACACAAAACGCAAGAAAAAAATCAATCAAACTCCGTTAAATGAAATTGAGCCGCCGTCCACAAATTTCAATAAAAACAAGAATAAGAACTAAAATTCAGAACAATCAGACCTCAGTCAACCCATACAAAATACACAACAAATAATTTGTGTGGTAAAATGGAGAGAACAGGCAGTAGCGTCTGAAAATGGAGAAGAAGAAAGAAAGATCCACCTAAATTGAGGACAAATGGGTGCATCACTATAGCCTTCACGTTTCTTCTTTTTTTTTTTCTTTTTCTTTTTTTTTTTTTTTTTTTTTTTTGCAGACGACGTCGTTTTTGCTCGAGAGATGAAAAAAAATTGCTGTGAAATAGAAAAATCTACTATTCTTTCTACAATAGTGAAATATTGCCCATTTTACATAGTAGTGAAATAATGAAAGGGCAAAGAAGGAATGGACTTGAGGAACAAAAGGGCTTTGTGTGCCTATACACAATTAATAATTTTGATACCACATCACCATATTTTAAAAGTGAATTACAAAAATGACACTATATTTTGTAGTTTTTCCAAGTTTTTGTTCAAGAACATCGTTTCTACGACTTCGTATTGTATAATGTATCATGTATATGCACATGAAATGATGGAAAATAATGAAATTTCTAAGTGTCTACGTTCTCTTATATCTTTTTTTCTCTATAATAATTTATATCAAAAATCTCAATCTCTTGATAAAATATTTTTGATCATTATAATCAGGCCTCAAATATTTTTCGTATTTTCAGTTTTTTTCTCGGCTTGAATCCAAAAGTAAAGAAAAAGAAAATAAAAAAAATGAAGTGGTAGTCATATTAAAAAAGAAAGCAGATTTATCTAACGAATGCCAAACCCTCCTAGAGAGGTCTAGAAGGATACTATTTTCTTTACGAAAGTAGGTAATAAAATTAAAATTCTTCAAAACAAAATTAAAATTATCACAGTGTCAATTTTGGTGCCATTGTCCTCGGGCCATCTTGTAATTAAGGGGAATGTGTTAAATTGGAGCTTTTAAAGATTTGTATAGACTTTTTAAAATTGATTGATGACTTTCGTGAATTTTATGAACTTTTAAATGACTTCCATGATTTTGTTAAGAATTAATAAAAGTATTTGAACTTATGTAGGCTTTTATTAAAGATTTTTAAAAACTTTTAAAGATTTTTCATCTTGCAAAATTATTATATACCTAGAAATTATAATCTTTTTACTAGTAAATTCACATTTTCGAGAACCGTGTGATGTCGACAAAATTTTCTTGAATAAAATCATTAGCCACGACTGCATCATTCAATTTTATTTCAAATAAAATAATAAAAAAACTTTTACATCAATTTCTAGAGCATAATCAAATTTTTTTCACAAAATTAATATAATTTCTAATAACACAAATTGTTCTTAATCAATAAATAAATATATAAATAAAGATCGATTACATGAAATTCTACTTTTTGAAATAATTGTATATAATTTCAATTCAAAAGTAATTATGTATATAGAATAATCATAAATTGATTACAACAAAAAAATCGTGTTATCGAAGGATCTCCTACGATTATTTCTAGTATGGAATGAGACAATCATCCACTTATTGAAGAGATACGAGAAAATCCTAAAATTGAAAGAAAAAAGTTCTTTTTTTGCTATGAAATCTTCACAAATCTTAGAGTGTATAAGAGATTTTTTATTTATTTTATATATATTTGCTATTAATATTTTTTTACCAAAAAGTTTTCAAAAGTCCAGTAAATGGAGAATTCTTCAAAAACTATTGTCTATTTGAATATCTCATTATTTATAGAGACTTTTAAAAAATTTCAATTGAATATCTCGTGACTTTTAGAGATTTTTTAAAAGCCTATAAAAGTCCCAACTAAATACATATAAACTTTTAGGGTGTACTTGATTGCAAGCATGAAAATTATATAAAAAGAAAATAAATTATAAACAATTAAATTGTCTAGAATTTATTTACATGAAAATTATTAATTAAATATTTTTGATTGTTTTAACCTAAAAAATATTATACTTGTCCATTTTTCATTGATGAGTAGATGATAAAGTAATAAGGTGGATGAGACAGGCATAGAAAGAGAGAGGAAATTACTTGAAAAATAAAAACATACCCCTCTTTAAAAATATATTTTCATTATTTTCAAGGAAAATGTGGTCATGTGATCAAAAGCATAAAAATATTTTTTATGAAAAAATATCAATCAAACAATATAAAAGTAGAAATTTAAGTGACAAAATGATATTTTTCATGAAAAATATTAATAAATAAACACACTCTTAAAAAATCTCAATTCAATACACTTAGGGGGTGTTTGATAGGTATTTTTATTTAAAAATATATTTTAGAATAATAAATTGATATGAAATGTGTGGTTGATAAATAAGGAAAAGTTTTTGATTTATGTGTAATATTATTTTAATAAAAAAGTGTGCTTGAAAAGAAGAGAGAGAAATACATTTTGAAAAAAATGATTACCAAACGCACTTTTAGAGGGTGTTCAATATCTATTTTTATGGAAAAATAAAATTTAAAATAATAGATTGATGGAGAATGTACGGATGAAAAATAAAGAATTTTTTTTATTTACATGTAATATTATTTTAATAAAAAATGTGTATAAAAAGGAAAGAGAAAAATATATTTTGATAAAAATAAAATCAAACGTTGACTAATCTTTTTAAATTCTCAAAATTCTTTATCAAATATTTTTGTGGGCGTGGGTTTATGAAGTGAGGTTTAAAGGAGCAGCCATGGGGGACTTTTCTCCACACCTTTAACACCAAATCCTTATTCAAACTCCACAGCATCTACCATGTCTTCCTCGAATTCCCCTCAAACCCGTGAACCCAAACCCGAATCGCATGCCCTAACTCAAGAGTCCTCGGATCCACGATCCGATACAAATACGTCACAAACTCTACAAAATACAGAAGAAAGAGGCGCCCTTTTGGAAAAACATTCAGTAGAATCAATTACAGGACCCAATGGTGGCGAAGAAGAGGAGGAGGAGGGTGAATGTGGGTTTTGCTTATTTATGAAAGGGGGTGGCTGTAAAGACACGTTTATAGAGTGGGAAAAGTGCGTGGAAGAAAGAGAGAAGAACAAAGAGGATATTGTGGAAAAATGTTTTCAGGCTACCGCTGCTTTGAAAAAGTGTATGGAAGCTCATTCTGATTATTATGCGCCAATTTTGCAGGCTGAGAAGGTAGCTGAGGAGGAGGCTGTGAAGGAATTGGAAAAGGAAAAAGAAAGGTTAAATAGCCAAGGGGACGGTGAAAAATTGGGATCAGATGAGAAGGAGGAAACATTGAAAGGTTCTCAGCAAAAGAAAGAATCTTGAATTGAGGGTTTTGGAGATGCTGTTTTAGTTTATAATTTTTAACTTTTACGGATTGAATGTTGGGGCTGTTAGGAGAATTTACTTGAGGTAATTTAACCAAACCACTTGAGAATTTCTGATAGAAATTGATATATTTTGAATAATTGTATTGGATAATGACTGGCATTTTATGCAGATTGATCTTGCCTCACTCTGCGGAGAATTATGCATGGTAGAAATCATTTTTATTTTGTGCAGTTTGGTGCTTACCATGGTTTGGGGTAAATTATGATTCAATTTGAAGAAGTGAAATTTGCAATGCACCTATGTTATGGTATGAAATGAGGGAAATGTGATCTCTTCAAAATATATGCTTTATCCATGTAGTTATAAGTTTTATACGCAGGATGTTTTGCTAAAGAGTAATACTATTTAACCCCATTGGGGTTGCATCATCAGTTTAGGTGGCACTAATGTGGCATTTATTGATAGGTAGAATTAAATAAGTCATTTAATTTCACATTTCATTTAACCTATCATCTAGTCCCACTTAAACTGGGTTTCAACTTTGGGACTACATAGCATTGCTCTCTGCTAAATGTATAATTTGGTTCTAGCGGAAAATAAAATAAGCACTTTTTTCGAGTTAATGCACTATGTAATAAAATTAATGTAGAATACATTGCATATGTGGCATTTTTGTTTGGAAGGATTGGATAGGGTTAAGTTAAGATCTTGTTCATTAATGTGTGCATGTTATACATCTTTGTCGTCTAGTAATCGGTTGTGAATTTTCTTTGTTTGAGCCCATTTTTGGGTCAAAATGTATTTTGGAACAGTGTTTTGTTAGAGAATGTGTGGTTAAAAAATAAGAAAAAAATTTAGGTTCACGTGCAAAATTAAATTAATCGGAGAATATGTAGTTGAAAATGAGTTCTTGAAAGAATGGAGGCCAAAAATTTAACACATAGCATGATGGCACGGAATTGATTTCTATAAATAGGAAGTTGTATTAATCGGCGATATGCATTTGATTTTAGAAACTTTGATGAGTTTTAACAATAGCTTCGTTTGACAACTTTGATAAATATTAATTGTGTTCCCTGAGGATTCTTATGATCAAATAAGGGTTATGATGGTGGTCTTCTGTCTATTTTCTGTGTGTTAATTACCTTTCTGTTGATAAACATATTACATATACACTAGTTTCTCTAGTTTTCCCTGCTGCTGGAACCATCATAGGTTGTTTTATGACTTAAGATTTTTTCTACCGTCAAGAGAAGATCAATTTCACTAAAAGTTACAAACTTGATTGGTTCTTTAAAATGGTTTACTTGAATCCTTAATAAGTAGATATACTTGTGATGGAGCTCCAAAAAATTAGCTTTTCTACTATTAGAAGACGGAAAAAGCTGGGGTTCGTTGGAGAGTGGTCTTGAAACCAACTGTCATGGTTCTGAAAGGAAAGTTCAAGTTGCTTATTTACTTGTATGGTATGCATCTCAATAGGAAACAATTTCCTATTTACTCTAAATGTTGTTTGGAAGCAAGCCAGGAGCTATAGGAATATAATGCTTAATTTGGGAAGATTGGCATTTCTCGGAAACAGGATGAAATTGTTGAATTGAATTGAGTTTGTTAGGATTTCCATGGAGACAGTTTTTGATCTGAATGTATAATGACTTGCATTTCATTCAAGACTCTTAGTCACGTCTTTCTTCACCGTTGCCCTGACCAAAATGTGTGTATACAAGGAAATATTACCTTCCTATACACTTTTGCCACTAGAAAAACAGATAGTTAACACCTTAATGCCTTGTTTCGTAAGGAGAATTGAATATTAGTAGACACCACTATTGGGTTCTGTTCTATTTGGTCATTTTGTTCGCCTGAAAGTGGATGGAGCCAGACAAGTTTGAAATAGACAATGTGTGGCATGTCTATACCCAACCGCTTTTTAACCATGTAAGAGAAAATGCGATATCAGACAAGTTTATATATGAATGCTTTTTAACTCGATAAAAAATTTACAGGTGAGAGTGAGCCACCTTTGTTTGATAAAATCAACTGGTGAAATTTCGTTTTATGGGATCACAACTTTTATGAATTTAGTTCGCCACCTGTATGCATTGCTTTTTGCTCTAGTTCTTGGTTTTAGCTAGAGAAATAAATTTTATTCGGTTCAAAAAAATAGATTTTTATAATCTCTTGATTAAATAGAAACTAATGTGTATAGCATGATATAATTTTTTATTTAAAATATAGAACGTGAAAGTAAAATGAAAAATTTACGAGAGAAGTTACAATATCAAATTTATTTTTGAAACATAAAAATTGGACTAGAATTACATGGGGAAAATACCGATAGGTGACGCGTCCAGTCAAATAGATAGTGTAAAAGCTGATATTAATTCCCGAGGATTTGAAGCCTCTAAAACACCCTTTCTTAATTCTCGCCGGAGATGGTGACTTCGGAGTTCATGCTGGTAAGGCTGTAGATTCGTGTTTTGAAAAATAAAGTATCTTTTTAAAGACATTTCATCTTAAAAAAACTTCACAGATTTTTTATGAAGATTTATTACTTGGATCCGTCAGTAACTAATCAGTGAAACTGTGATGTTTATGTGGACATTTTGAAGATTTATATGGAGTTATAAAAATCTAAGCATGAACACAGCTGAAAGGAATGCTAAGAGGTCGTTGTCTTCTGGTGAAACTTGCTTCAGGTCCTGTGTTTTTTTCTCCTCGTTGCTATGAGCTTTTATCAAATTTGTAGAAATCCAGATTCCTCAAATTGATGGGGATATGACAAGAAGAGAAAACTTCATTGATGTTCTTCGTGGGCATAAATGGCTGGCAATGAGCCCCCTTAACAAGGTATTCAGCGTGTTAGTGTCTATCAGCCTGTTTCTTAATTGCTTATGTTTTTCTACCTTCCTGCCTAGTAAAATGAGTATTTCTTTACCTCACTTTTGGCCATTGAGTCAAATATAATGCACATGTTCAAGTTAATAAAGTAAATAACTTCGAAAATATTGAATCGATGAAACTTTCATGTGTGAAGAAGTTCATCATATGAGGCTGTCACACATCACAATTACGAAATTCCAATGAAAGAATCAACGAACTCTATTCTACATAGCCATTTGCCTGCATTATCGCATTTAAATGTTATATATAATCTTCTCCTGTGTCCTCCTTAATCAGTGTTATATCTATTCTTCCTTGTCCTCATCATCGTCGTAATTGAAAGGCAATGGCACTGATTTGAATGCACGATATTTGCCAACATTGTTTAGATGCTCGTTCTCTAACCTGAGTGAGAAAAACAAAAACAGTTAATATCAGTTAATTGATTTAAATTTTAGGGTATCCACCCCGAGGCGACAATGTACGAGATGTTATTGCTATCCAAGTTGAAAGGATTAACTTTTAGTGGCAAGTTCCACGCCTGTTTTGTCTTGTGTTGAAGGCTAATTTTAAATAAATAAGCGTATTCCATCTCTAACAACTTAAGCTCTTAGAGAAAAGTAGTTCAACAAGGTTTTAGAGTAGACAAAAAAGTCTTGGTTTCCAGCTTCACTGTCACCTATTCATAAAAATTATGCATGTGTTAGGCTTTTGGTAAAAATGATTTTGATGTATATGAGCATGTGTATTGAACACTATATATATATATATATATATATATATCAAATTGAACTCTTAGAAGAGGTAGTTAAAACACCTTATAGCCAATGCTAGGTTTGACCCGAATGGCGTAATGGCATTAGCATGGTGATTACTAAGTTTTCTATTTTTCCAACACCAATTATAAGAAGGTAAATTGTATTCGCAATGATAAGGGACTAATGCACGGAACTTAGGGAATCACCTGAAAAAATTCCATATACCACGGCGTATGATCTCTAAAGCAGCTACAGTTGCAATCAGAGTTTGTCCATTCAAGGAGAAAATTGCGACACTCATTACGGTCTGCATCCAGGCTAATCTCAACAAGACATTGAGGACGTGCAACAAAAGAGTAGTTACAGCATACTTGACTATGCTTAAAAGTATGTCATGCTTACTTTTAAGATACTAAAAACTCACAATGGCTACAAAGTACACACTCTTATGTGGGATAAGAAGTTTGTCTCTCAACAAATAATTCTCAGAGTTGCGTCGGAGAAGACCCCAGTCAATAACAATGTCCCAATATGTGCCAAAGATAGTAGCAACTGCTGAGGCTATCCATGCTATGTACTTCCAAATAACTCCTCTGTTAAGTGTCTAGGCTGTTCGAGTACTAACTGCCAGAATTGTAGAGAAATATTTCAAGCCATTGAATCCCTGTTTAGCATCCTTCTCCTCATACAAACGGCGTAGACACTGAGCAATTAAAAAACTGTATCAGTCCTGCTTAAAATGAGTCAATATAAGGCAAACAAGGACCAACTGTCTCGGAATCTCTCTCTCGTTCTGTTCATAGGGTCTGTGACACAAACACAATACATCTTTAAGTGTGTGTGTGTGAGAGAGAGAGATACAAGAATATTAATCGTCGTCCAAATAAGAATTTTCTGATTGATTTAAGTATGCTTATAGAAGCAATATAGCATACGCCAAATCAATAAAAGTGCTCTCCCTCTAAGAGTTTAAGCTTTAACATGAGGTTGTTTTACATGATATTGGGCAAATGTCCTCGCTTCAAGTCTTGCTGCCACTTGTTTCTTAAAACTTTGTGTGTGCTAGAAGTTTGATAAAAAATTGAATCCGTTCATCACATGACACATCACATTAAAGAATCTTAATAAATAACTATAAATGTGTTTCCTCTCTAACATCCAAATTTTTGGACGAGATAGTCCAAAATTGCTGAAGTAGTGAGCGATGTATAATTTATTTGTTAGGTACCTGAAGGAGGCGCCACCAGTATGGAATCACAGCTACGATGAATGAGAAAGTGTTGAAAACATCACCTGTTTTGCAACTATTTTTTCTGAGTTTGAAATCTCCCCAACCATAGTAGCAAATATAAAACTCTAGGCTTCTAAAAGCTTGTACCTGTATTGAGATTGAGGAATTCAGTGCATATAAGGTAAGAAAATGAGCAGATTCTAATTATCTGATAGTCCACATCATTACCTGGCTTGTCAGCTGATCTGCAAAGAAGAAGTCATGTGATGTAACCTGGGTGCGGGGTATATTAACTGTGTTAGTTCTGTTTGGTACATATTTTAGTATGACTAAGATAATAATTTCTTTACCTTGTATAAAGGAGCTAAGAAACAATGAAATAAGCAGATGAGTAGGAAGAAACGGCTGGAGCGGTATATAATGTTGAAAGGGCAGAAAAAAGTAACAATTACAAGCTGCAGAGAATGGAAAACTCGAATTTAAGTACTCGCAGAAATTTAGAATGTTGAAAAGGTGAAGCAAGTCTAATCTTTGTATCTCACCAGAACTAAACCCAGAGGTAGAAGTTCTGTTATTGCCTTGTAATCTTTTGTTATTGGATCCATTTCCATATCAAGGTTTGCAAGTACACTTGATATGGCTAGTGCAGTTAGACAAAAAACTGAGGAGTAGAACTTCTCTGAAGCCAAGTTCTGTTCCTTCCTTGAATCCAAATATGAAAGGATAGTTGACTCGATATCGCTACCAGAAGTATATATTTGCAGCATACATTAGAATGTGCAGAACAATGAATCCGAACAAACTGCAATAAAATGATAGGTGGAAAGATTTAATAGCCCCGAAGAAGAATGAACTTGAAGTCTTTCAATAAAAAGGCTAAATACCATGTTAAAAATTTAGATTTGCTTTGTTAGCTATAATTAACATAGATTTTTGAACATCGAAAGAGCGATAAGAGGAAGGATTAACCTGTAAAGGGGAAACATAGTTTCCATGTATAGAACTCTGCCTTCTTTATCTTTATCTAGTATATTGCGTGCTCGGATGATTAAAGCAAGGGCCACTATGAGAGCAAAGGTGCAGCCAACAAGAAACCCTGCAGATATTTGGTACACATAGTTTGAATGGATATTCAAAAAATCATCTCTTAGAGAATAAAGTGCATGGTTGGTATGCACTACTAGACATGATAATAAATAAGGATTTTTAGTTTCTTTCTCTTCCTTAATAGCGTTGAGCATCATTTGATCCTCCCTACAAACAAGCTAAAATTTAATCCGACTAACATATTAATCAGAAAGTCGAATACCTTACCCATTGAAAATGTAACTCTATGTCTTTTCTTTTTGGCCTTTGGCCTTAAGATTCCCATCCCTTTCCTGTGATTCGAGTTGGAGAAGTGCTTGATGAATGTGGCTTCTACCCTTTCCATCAATTTGCAGACCTATAATTGCAAAAAATCACCTGATCTGAATATCCATTTTTCTCACGCAATCTATGTAGAACTTCTGATAAAACAACGTGACGAGCAACTCATAAATCTCTTAGCTTTCTTTTCTATGGGGGAAAAAAAAAGGAAATTCCTTTACTCTCCTATTGAAAGCAAAATCTCACCTCATCCGAGCTGCTTAGATAGGAATTATCAACCATTGCCATATAAGATTTTGATGCTGTTCTTGAAGCGATCTGCATTGACAGTATCAATATATTACTCTGAATTCTCTCTCTCTCTCTCTTTTTTTTTTTTTTTTTTGGTTTTTCAAGTGTTTCCTATCTGACTAAATATGATTTTATACAGCAAAAGTGACATATAAACATTTTATGCTGGCGGATACCTTATCATATTTCTTCATGATTTTCGAGCACACCAAAATATTAAGAAAGCTGTTTCATTTGTAAAGAAGTATATCAGTAACAACAAAATCAAGAACAAAACAGCAATGAGTATGTTCCTAAATCATGTGGCAACATACCTTTAGCTTTTTAGTAGCCTAAGCTTGAGGTGGAACTCAATGAAAGCCTTCTTAAGTTGTTTTTCTGCTTTCTTCAAATTATCCTTAGTGAACTTTAAGTCGGTTTGATTTGGAAGATTGAGAAACCCTATAATGGTCGAACGAGGAGTTTCTTGAGTAGTGTTAAATTTAACATGGTTAAGTATCTCTAAAGGTGCTGGTCTTGTGGTCCTGATTGTATTTTGATTATGCCTTTGATCTTTTAAATATACTGGTACCATCTCAATGGCATCTTTGTCATCACTTGATCAGTCTGATTGTCCCTGATTATTTGAACTTTCTTCATCTATCACATCCATTGGAACTCTTCCTGAATCAGAATAAGAAACTTGTGTCATTTTAGTAATCAAATTTGCGTGCTTATCATCACTTAATGCATCGGGGTAGTTTGCTACTTTGCTAATCTGGCGTATTAGTCCATGGTTTGAAAATGGCATCCTACGTATAAAGGTTGTTTTCGTGTGTAAAATGATCAACAAGATACCATCATCCTGCAAAAGCAATTATTTGCCTGCTGCTGAGTATTATATGCTCAGAGTTTGGGCTGAGAATCAAAATGTTTTCAGCTCACAAGAAGAAAAGCTAAAAACATGCATTTGTTGAACGTGTAAAAAAGATGCAAAAGTAGCGGTAGGGTAGGTTAGGACAAAACTTAAGTAACTGAATGGCAAAGCTGGCTGAGTTCATGCACTCGACTGGTTAAACCTATGCAGCTTTATGAGAAAAAATAGCAGAAGCAAACCAATGTTATTTTTAATAAATTGGAAAGTGAAAGAATGCTAATATGAAAAATCGCCCCTAAAAATTCTTAGATTTGTGATACAGAGTGTAACTACTACCAATGAAAGAAACCATAAAGTTTTTCACTATCAATCTCCCATAGTTGCTTAGAATATATACTTACTGCTGGCTTTAGCTGCAGATGGAGTAGATGCTGATATGGCTGCTCTAGAAGCTGCAATATCCAAAGAAAGATGTGTTGTCTCCTCCAAGCTGTTCACCCACCCTTTTGGATTCTCCACCTTAATCCGAAAAGCAATTAGAGCTTCCATTTGCTTATTCAAAACAGCAGCCTCCTTCATTACCTCCTCTACTTTAGATTTGTAAAATTTCGCAACTTTATTAAACTCACCATCAAGTTTTTCAAAGTAAACAAGTTCATATTGTCCTCCATCATCTGCATCGAGAAACATAGTTTCCAAGCTTTCTTCTCCATTTTGTCTCACTGTATTCACAAGAATGACTTGATTTTCAAGGTCTGATGAAGTTTGGGGTTTAGGAGAATTTCTTTTGGGCGTTATTAGTCCACTGAATGCTCTGTACAAGGTAAGATTTTTTTTCCTGCTGCCATCTTGCTTGATATTTGGATTATGTCTTCGGTTAAAAACTTGAAATTCTTTCAAAATGGTTTTCAGAAAATTATAATCCATGTAGGCCTCTTGCCATTCTGGCACCATTTAATATATAAATTATTTACCAAACTTCATGATCTTTTCCCCTTTCCGTTAAGCAAAACTATTGTTTAATGCTAGTAAAATAGAAAGTTTTGAGGAACTGAAGACCAAAATGAGCAAACTAGATGAGACCAGAAATGTGATTTTATAGATTATAGAGAGAGAAGAAGATTTTCAGCATTTAGGTGGTCCATAGTAACATTCTGGGGAGTGATCAGAAGAGGCTGGCGTGTGGGCTTCGTTGGTTACAGAGAAAGCAGCCCAGATTGACTTGCTTGGTCCCTGAGAAAATCGAAAACTGTCTTGTAACTTACCTTTCTTGTTTATTTGGAGAAATTGAACGTTCAGTCGTTGTTAAATTAGCAAGTTGGTATTCAAATCTTTCATTGTAATTGTATAATCCGTCCCAATAACAGAAACTGTTCAATTTTCTATTAAATTGTCACGTTGTCCTCGTGAAAACATGCTTGCCATCAAATTTCTGAACACCAACTTAAGTTGGGCAATAAAAGTTAGTTATAAAGTTGGACATGTGAGGGGATACGAGGATATCATAGAGATATGGACAATTTTTCTTGTCGGAACTTGTTTTACAACTATGGTGAAAAGTTGAGGACCTAGTATTCAGAGAAAGGGTGAAACCCCACAGTGCAAAATTTCCTTTTTTATGCAATAATTATAATAATAACTGTTTAGAGTCACCCAGACCTTTCCAGCTTTCTTTCAATTCTTCCAATATTCCCTTGTTAAACTTAATTCTTGAGTTGTATTTTTCTTTTGTACTTTTGCTGTCTGCATCTCAGATGAAAATCTTTGTCAAATGAACTGCCAATGATGGTTCAAAAATCAAGTTTTCATCTATCCTGAAATATTCTTTACCTACTATTTATGTGGAGAATTAGTTGCAACTACCTCTTCAGAAGGGCTAGTTTCTAGCATTAATGTCGGAAGAGATTTTTATTTCGCAAGACTCGCTAGTTATCGTGGAATCTAGACTTGATCTTTAGAGTAGTGAAGGATATTTTTGTAGACTATGTTTTAAGATCACATGAATTGACTAGTTCAAGAGAATGCGGGGAACCACTTGATAGGGCAGTGAAAGACTTATCTGCAGAACCTCCTGCCTTCGGCTCGCTTGAATTTTAAAAATGAAGGTAATGTAAGGGCCCTTTTGGTCTTCCTAGCTTCTATGAGTACCATTTTTATAGCTCATCATTTAACCGTTAGGAGGGGTAAAAGGTGGTATTACCAACATTATTTCTAGCTTTTTTGAACCTTTAAGTGAGCCCAATTGGGTATTAATGCATTTGGCCACTTGCTTTAGGATAGTTCCCAAGTAATAAATGAAAATTGCAGATTATTGTAAAGAAAATAAACGATAAAAAAATCCAGCTACTTGAGCAGCTCATATTTTTTGAATGGCATTCTCTATGAATAGTTATGATGAAGGAGACTTTGTTCAGAATGTCAGCTATTTGCTTATTCTTCTCTTTCATGTCAACAACCAAAACGTTTCAACCTTTCGAATATACATTGTTTCTAGAATTGTTTCGTAACATTTGTGAACTATTCTTCAATTTGACAATTCCTTTAATTTTCCTTGAACATTTACCGAAAAATTTTCTTGCATAGTAATCTATGCGGATAAATAATTTTCTTTGCAGTTGACTTTGTCAATTTTCTTGTACACATGTAGGTTTAAGGTTAAAAAAGGGAAGATAGAATAGTATTAGTGTCATACTATCATTATTATTTTTTATTACTATCATTTAATCTATCGTTAATGGTATAATTCTGCTATTCAACTCTTAGCTTTATGAGTGAGATTGTTATAAGAACATGCTTTGATTTAGGGGGACTTATCTTCTAGTTTTGGGGCTTTATCTATCTTTTGAGCCTCATTTTGGAGGAAAAAAATGTATTTTTGAAAAGGTGTATGGTTGAAATAATGTCAAAACACTGTTTAATAATGCATTTTTTCCCAAAAAGGGGGGGGGGGGGGG